GTTTTTAGTTAATAAAAATAAATTGAAGCGAATTGGGGTTGTCTAGGATCGAACCTGCGACCTGTGAGTTGAAATCTTGCAGTAGTACCAGTGAACCATCCAGCCATTTTGAGAACGGGTTCAACAAGTTTTAATTTAATATATTCTTTAATAATTATAGAAGTAATATATCGAGTTTAGTCGGATGACCACGGGTTCGGGTGACCCAAAATTAGTACATAAATTCGCCCCTGTTCATTGTGTAATAGCCTACAAACCACACAAGGGATGTAAACCGCACTGGACAAGCCCTATACGACAGGCTCGACTCATAAGACATTGGAGGGGATTGATCCCGGGTCATCCGTGTGGATAATCACCCTCCAAACCAACTGAGTCATCCCGATTATTATTATTATTATTATTAATATTTTAACATATAAAGGCCCCTGTATGGGGCAAAACAATAATGTAAAGGGGAACTTGTTGTCTATGTGTTGTCAAAAGCTGATTAAAGATCAGAAATTAGGATTCATCCTTGAAATATGTTGCCCTCTAAAGTATAATGGGCCCCACAATCTGTAAAAGAATATTTTTTATTTTATTTTATTTTATTTTGTCTTTTTTGATTGTTATGATTAGTATATTATCTTTTGTTACCCTCAAAAAGTACAAAATTATAATATAATGTGTGAGGTGTATAATGGAGTAAATATATAGTTCTTCTTAATCTCAAAAACATGAATTGGATTCTTTTTTAAAATTTAAGCACATAATTTGAGTTGATACTTGATAACACTTTTAGTTCCCTGATTTTGTGAAATTTTATTAAGCATGTTTAATTTTTAATTGATATATAAATATATATATATTTGTGAATAATCACAAATTTACTATGATTATTCACCACTTAAATTAATCAGTGTTATTGAAATTTATATGTTACCATAATAATATATATTTTTTCTCTACGTGGTTACTCCCAAAAAGTTCTTTTTCTTGGGGGGTGGGGGTCTTTAAATATGAAGTGAGACCCCCAAGATTTTGTTTGAATATATAGTTTCACTATTATCTATTTTATTTGTTTAATTTATGTGACAGAGATAAAATTAAGAGAGTCAATTAAATTTTAAAATATTTTTTATTATTAATTATTTTTAAAATATTCTTAATGCACTTTTCAAATAATATTTGTTTCACATGTGATATTTTGAGAGCAAATTAATTTTTAATATATTTTTTAAAAGTATTTAAGTTGTTAATTATTGTGATTGATGTGGCACATGTGAAATTTTGAGAGTTAATCAATTTTTAAATATATTTATAAAAATGTTTTAAGTTGTTAATTATTGTAATTTATAGTACTCTTATTATCGTAAATTTCAAATAATATATGTTATCCCATTTGTCTCAGTTTATGTGGCATTGGTGAAATCCGTAAGTTAATCAGATTTTCAATATATATTTTTAAATATTTTAAGTTGTTAATTATTGTGATTGATGTGGCACATGTGAAATTTTGAGAGTTAATCAATTTTAAATATATTTATAAAATGTTTTAAGTTGTTAATTATTGTGATTGATGTGGCACATGTGAAATTTTGAGAGTTAATCAATTTTAAATATATTTATAAAATGTTTTAAGTTGTTAATTATTGTGATTTATAGTACTTTTAACGTGATATTCAAATAATACATGTTACTCCTTCAATCCCAATTTATGTGGCATATGTGAAAATTTGATAGTTAAATGATTTTTTTATGTGTTTCTAAATATTTTAAGTTGTTGATTATTGTGATTTACAATACTGTTTTTTCATAATTTTTCAATACATAACATACTAATAAGGAAAGTAAGACAAATAAATTAAAATGGAGAAAATATTAAACATAAATAGAAAGGCAAATCGATCAATCACCCGATTGATCCTAAGCTCCAAATTTTTAATATGTATTTTTAAATATTTTGAGTAATTGATTATTTTAATTTATAGTACTATTTTTTTGTAATTTTTAAATACATAATATTTTAAAAAGGACAATAAACGAAGAAATACTAAATATTGTAAATATACTAAAAAGGAATATAAATAAATAAATAATAATATTAGTTTTCATAACTCTTAAATACTTAATATATTAAAAAGGAAAATAAATGAAGAAATACTAAATATAAAATAGAAGAAATTTGAGGAAGAAGACAAATCGGTCAATTGACCGGCTGATCCTAAGCTCCTCAATATTCACACTTCTAATATATATATAGATATAGAAATATATAAGTAATATATAAGATAATTTGGACACAATAATTCCACATATTTCACAAGTACTGTTAATGATCAAACGATAAAAAATATGAATAAACTAAAAATATAACTGATGATAAAATTTAGCAAGTAAAACATATTCCTAATAAGAAATAAGACAAAAAAAAATATTTTCTTTTGTTGAAAATTTCTCATTTCATTCTTTAGTAATTTTGCAAGTATTTTTCTTTTTGTTAGAAATTACCATATGTCTTTCTCAGCCCAGTTGGCAATTTTGACAACTAGTAAGTAATAAATTTGATGTGATGTAACATTATTTTCACATGAACCAATAATACTTTCTATTTATATTTAACACTATAAGATATACATATAGTGACATTTTCATAAAGTCCTCTGCAGTATTTACTGAATTTCTATATTTACATTTGTCTTTGAACAGATTGCTTGAAAAGATTATACACACAAAAAGTACTAAAAATATTCTGAACAAATAATATGTCCTTTGTTGTTGTTTTTTCTTAAATAAATTATAATTTATAATCCTAATTCTTAGGTGGTGAAAGTCAAAAAAATATTTTACTTTCTTGATGATTTCATATTGATATCTTATTTTCTTCTCTCACATCGTCAATCTCAAGCTCGGATAAAGGAGAGAAGTTGATGAGGATTAATTGATAATAATTTCCCTATCCCATAAAGATAAGAGTAAAGACGTATACATTTTATCTTCTTCAGACCTCAATAGGATTATATTGATTTTTTTCTCTTTGCTAGATTGGTGGTATATTGGAATAATTCTAATTTATTCGCTCGAATAATTACTTTTAAGACCACTATTTATAATATAATAATTGAAATATATAAAATATTTGAAATGTAGTTATTTCAGACTAAAACTTCAAATTTGAGGTCTAAATTTCAAATCTCGAATTTGAAAGGATCTGTAATTTTTACTTTGACCATGTATACGTATTAAGAAGTTCATTAAATGTTTATAAAAAAATTGATGATAAACTCAATTATTATTTTATATATTTAAACTTTTGTATTATTATTAGTGTTATTGTTATTGTTGTCGTTGTTATTATTATTATTATTATTATTATTATTATTAATTCAAGAAAGAGTTTTTGAGTTCATGGTTCTATGATTGAGAACTCAAGGAAAGAGTCATGACGTGTTCTACCACTGAAAGTCAAAGAGACGACATGGATTCATGGTTCTACAACTCACTAGAGCCTGAAACTCTGTTAGACTGTAGTGGAGTTTCACATGTAAAAGTTTAAAATTTATTACGGAGGGTCTCATAAAAAAATTTAAAAAAATTT